ATCTAAAATTAGCAAAATAATATTATTAAACAAGTTTATGAAATATCTAATTTCTAGGTCTTTGGATTGTTTAAATTTTCATAAGATTGTTAAATATACTTGAAACTATTCCTAAAATGCTAGTTTAAGTAATAAATTAATTTTATAAAGTTTTAACTTTTGTGCCAAAATCTTATTGTGTCTAAATACTTTATAAAAAAGCTTTTCAAAAAATACAGTTTCATGACTATTTAAAAATATATACAAAGGCCTAATCATTAGAACAATATGCAAAATTTGCTTTAATATTTTGAAAGAGTTACTGAATTTAATGCAATAATTAATAATATACTGTATATAAAGCTGTCTGAGATAATTCATAAGTACTATAAATACACTTATTTCTTAATAAGTTCTTAGTTCTGGAATATCTTTAAGATGTTTAAGCACATTTACATATTCTAAACTAGAATGAAAAGACTCTTTTTTTAAATCTACTAGTTTTATATTTTTCATAGTTTAATTAATCTGATATTATTCAATTCTATCATTATAATTATGGATTAAAAGATGTTTGACTTATTCTTAATAAGTTGTTAGTACAGAAATCAGATTAGCAAATAATTGTCTTTGATCTGTATAACCAAGCTATAAATAAGAAAAGAATAATACATAAACATTTAATATTAAAATATTTGCATTTACATTTTTCTTATTATAAAGATTTTTTTCTTGACAAAATAAAATGAATATCATTTCTGACAAAGCTTTAAGAAGTATTATAGCAAAATAAGCAAAGTCTTGCATAGATGTTATATTATTATAATAATATTAATGAAAATTATAAAAATTGTTTACATTAAAAATAACTAAGTTTTTAATTTATAAAAAAATTTATATATTTAGTTATTTTTTGTAATTAAAATTTATTATTAAAAAAAAACTTATATATTTATATTTTCTAATAAAAATTTACCCATTATTATCATATTTGTTTTCATATATTGAACTTTATATCTTTTAATTATCTCATGTCTTATTGTTACATTTATATTAACTAAAGTTTTAATTATTAATGAGAACATACTTGTTGCATTTAATAAAAACTCAACCTCTATTCTAACTTTATTAATAAATTTATTATTAAGTCTTAATAAAAAATAACAAAACAAAACCAATCTTTTTTTATTTTTTTTATTGGTCATATTGCTTTTTGTTTGCAGATTAGTTTCAATAATTAGTTAAGTCTTTCAATAATGGCTCAGATTCTTTAAGTATTTTTTTGAACTTTTTTAGGTCAAAAATAAATTGTTTATTATATGAACACTGTCTTGTATATAATACTCTTATCATTAATTTAATTTTCTGACTAAGAGAAATTGCTTTTAAAAATAATTATTGAAGTAAAATTTTAATATAATAATTTTTTATTAAAAATTTATATCTACACCAATTTACATTATAAAAAAAATAAAAAAAATAAAAAATTTAAATATAATTTACTTATTTAGTTTTACTTTGTTAAGTTTTGTACAAACTTCCTAATATGTAAATTTTAATTTCTAAAATTAAAATTGTAAATAAATAATATTATTTTAAAATACATATGACTTATTTTGAATTTTTCTAATTTTATTGTTAGAAATTTTTTTTATTAGCAGTAGATAGTTAAATAAATAAATATATTTCAAATCATTATCAGTTTTGTATATATAATAATAACATATTATTAACTCTTGTGATAGTTCAAAAAAATTGATCAAATGTTTTGAAACCTTCCTTATACTTATTGTATTTATACTTTAACAAGCTATAAAAGGTAAACTTAATGTTTTAAATGAGAACATATTTTATTTGTTTTAAGTTTTTTTGTACTTATAATTAATTTATTGTAATACTTTCTGCATAGAGCCTTTCCAATCAAATCAAAATGTTAACTAGAAGTTAGTATTAACACCTGATCAAATATAATAGAAGCATTATGCTAGTTATAATTATAAACAACACTCTCTTAACCTTTTAAATTGTAATATTGAACTTTTTTTTATTAGAAAAAGTTGAATCTTTATGAAAAACTTATTGTTTAAATATTTTTACTTTATATTTTTTTTTCTTAATTATGTCTGTAATAAAAATATAAAATAAATGCTTTTTAGCTAACTTTTAAATTACTTAACCATTATTTGAATTACTTTGATAGTTTATCAAAAGGTATTATTTTAATTTTTTTTGGTATCAAGTTTGAGCAATTTATATTTGTAACTACTAAACTATTTTTGTATTAGTAAAATGTTATGTCAATATGTAGATTATAGTGTATAATGTTTAGTATTGATCATTCAATCAAATTAAAATCCACTATGCTAATACAAATAAAAAGTAAAAATTAATAAAGATAATAATAAATAATAAATATAAAAAATATATAAAAAAAATAAAAATTAAAAAAAATAATAAAAATTTTAAAATGTGCCTATGGTGTTGAACACTATATAAAATTTTATTATAAAATTTAGAATTAGAATACAGTTTTAAAATAATAATAGATTATATATAAAGTTCTAATTTCAGTTCTTGTAAGGTTTTTATAAGTTCTAAATATTTTTATTTAGAGTACCTAATTCTGTTTACTTAGTATGTTTTTGAAAAATAGCACTTACAGTATTTAGTACCATAGGTGCATTTTAGTAAACTTAAAAAAAATAAAATAAAAATATAAAAAATAAAATAAAAATTAACAAATCAAAAAAAACTCTCTTGTAAATCTCAATTGGAAATCCTAAGAAGCAAAGTTGCAGAAAAATATAAAATAAACAACATCTAAAATATTAAAAAAAAAGACAAAAGCTCAAAAATTACAGATAATCAAGTTGAAAAACAGAAAAAAAATCAATACAACAACAAACAATAACAAGAAAATAAAAGTTTTTTAAGTCCTACTGATCCTGTTTCTGCAGATCTAATAATAATAATAATAATAATAATGTCTGTTATCAGGAATATAATGACTTAGTGAAGTGGATAAGTTGTCAATCCTCCAAGTGGTAGGTTAGAAGTTCAAAACTCATTGACAGTGAAAATTTGGAAAACTACCTATGTATATTGGTACTATAGGCATCTGTGCAATGTTGGAGTTATATAAAAAAATGCAAACTGACATCAGGTGATGCAAACTTAAGATAAGTCCTTGTGTCTGATACTACAGTAATGACAATCTGTTAATTAGTTGGGATCAGTACCTGTAACATAGTCACATCAAATAATTGGCAGGTCATAAGACATCTACATAATGTTGAAATTACACAGAGGAATGCAAACCAGTATCAGTAATGCAAACTCAAGATAAGTCCTCATAATCATATAAATCTGTGAACTGGAAAAACTGGAACCTACTTGAGAAGACCTGAATAGAGAGGTAGCATGGATCTTTGACTGTACTACTATAAAGACTAAACCTAGAAAATAAATACCAATGTGAAAGGAATCAGGCAAGCAAGAATCTTGAGTAAGGGGTACTACTAATCAGGTCACCAAAAGTTTTGAATTAGAGAAAAAGAACCTTAAGAGGCAGACTCTAGGATATCAGAAACAGGTCATAATCCTATCAGACTATCTGGATTGAGAGTTTGAGATCAGAAACAGGAGTATACTAAAGTACTAAAGATATGTTGTAAAGTCAGTACTAGAGTCTGAATGAATTCTACAAGAATGAACCCTATTAACAAGATACTAAATATAGGTAGTTAGTTAGCAAGAGGACCCCTGAAGCCCTACAAGTTAGGTAACATATTCTGAAATGTGTAATAGTTTGATAGATGTACAGACAAGAAGGTCATGGTTAGATTAGACAGCATTTAGGTGTACAGGAACTTGTGCGCTATTTGTCAGTATAAGTATAGAGATCAGAATGTTTAAATAGATAATCTCCTAGTAGATTGCAGGTATGACAGCTAGTGTAGAACCTGCTGTGCGAACGGACTACTTAAATTAGACAACCAAAAGTTGTACATGTGACTAGTTGTATACTCATCTTGTACAAGTTATGTAATCATAATTAAAATACAATAAAGGCAATAGCCGCCGATAACTATGACCTTAGCGAAAGCAAAAAATAATAATAATAATAATGTCTGTTATCTATTCTGTATAAAAAAAAAAACTTAAATGACCAATTGAGAAAGAAGAAATGATAAAAAAAATATAATTCTATTTATTTGTACATTCTAAATAAAGAACAAAATGTTTAAAATTGGTAAGTACAAGAAATTTTTTATAAAAAAGGTAATTGTTTAGATGAATTGATAAGTTTTTTTTTAAATAAGCTCAAGTTGTATAAATGAAATTTATTTCTAAACTTTCTTCTACTTGAGATGTAACCAATTTAGTAGAATGAAGTGTGAAATAAAAAATTTCTAAACATCAAAGTAATGTAAAGTGAAAGCGGTTATGCATCAATCGGATGGATGAAAATTGAAAGTAACATTATTCTCGCAATCTAATAAGAACAAGGTATCAACAATACATTACTAATGTTCATTTAAATTATATACATAAAGGTGATTCGCTGGAAAAACCAACTTGCTATTGGATACAACAGCATATCATGGTATGGTTATAAATCGTTCTGATTTGATACACTGTCTGTAGAAGTGTACGTAGAAGTATAAACCGTATTTGAAAGTGAATGATTATTTCGGGAAAAAACATTTGCCAACTTGAAGTCTTTTGATTATCATAGAATCAGGTGCACCTGTTGATAATTGATAGAACCGTAGAAATTGGAATTTTTACGACTATCGAATGAAACTATACGTATATATATTTTTTAAAAAGATGGTTTGATAAAAAAAAAAACGAATTGAAAAGAACTTCAGAATCAATACTAGAGTTATTATGGTTTAATTACCTGAATTCTTGTTCTCACTAATACAACTCCTGCGGTTGATCATTAAATTTTAAATGCCGATTATGTAATTGATTTAGCTTAAAGCAAATCATTTTTAGACTTGAAAATTAAAGACATGAACGTAGAGGACACGACGAAACGTCTTCATTTTCTTTGGGGCGCTTCTCATACTTTATTGCCCACCGTCCCTAGTTTATCAGCTTTTTATATGCAAAAATTTACTCAGTGTGCAGCTGAAGAAGATTTAAATCTTGCAGATGTTGTCAGGAGAAAATATTGTGCGCATTGCGGAAGTATTTTCGTCCCTGGGCTGAACACTCAGGTACGACTTAACGTAAAAAAGAAACGAAAAAGAAGGAAGAAATCAGAAACAAATAAGGAAGTAATTTTTCAAGACGTTGAAGGTAAGAATTTGATGTTTTTTTTTATTCCTTATACGCAATCTTATCTACCGTTTTACAGAACGTAACACACCTAAAACGATTACTATGAAAAAGAAACGGCGGATAATATACTTTGAACCATCATTCTCTAGTAATCAAACAAATAGTACTACCATATTTCAGAGCGATTCAAAACATGCAAACCATCAACGTCAAAATCATAAAAATTTTTTATCTTATATTTGTACTTTGTGTGAGACTGAGGCAAGATTTGCTGGAAGTAGTGATATTAAAAATATCCTATCCGCAGGTAATCACAATAAGCAAACGCAAGTTGTCAATATTACCACCACAACACCTACATCTATGACACAAACACTCGAAGTATCTAGTAAAGGATCAGTATCGATTCCAAACCAAAATTCTGCTGATAGCAATAAGCCAAAGAAAAAAAAGCAAAAAACTCAGCTTCAACAATTATTAGCCGAGGAAAAAAGAAAGAAAGATGGAACCAAAGGTTCAATAAGTGGTTTAAATCTGGAAGATTTTTTGTCGTCATTATGAGTTTTAAATTTATTGGTGAGATCAAGTTATCTCCGATAGAGTTGTGACCAACTCTTTAAAACCAACCTTCCGATTACGTCTCCTTCGAAAATTAGAATAGAAGTGCTTAATAGTTTTTAAATAAATAAAACTCTTACGTAGAAAAATCAACCTCTTATAATCAGATTGTACCCGAATAGGTATTTTTATTACTTATATAACTATATCTGGAGGACATTATACTTATTTTCAATGAAACAATTAACAAAGAAGAGGATCATTATCTTCTTTTCTTATTCAGTAAGAAATTTCAATAAAAAGAAAAAATATTTAAGAATTTTTTTATATATTTATTCAACAAACATTTCTTATTTATCTTAACTTTTAATCTTAATAACATTAAAGCATATCAGAAAATTTACTAAATTTTTGATCAAGAGTATTAAGTTCAAAAGAAATTTAGTCTACAATCACTGAAAATATTATATTTAACAAAGAAGCTTCTTTGATTTTTATCTCATTAAAAACAATTGATTATTCTGACTTTTTGTTAGAACAGCTTAATTATTTAATTATTAAAATACAATCTAATTTTTAATAATCTATTATTGAAGATTTTAGTCAACATTAAGATTCTTATTTTCATAAAGATACAACTCTAATTTTTGAGAAATTTAATTTATCAGAACAAATTTATTCTAAAAAAGTAAAATTTTTTGAAAAATAAATTCAAAAAGAATAAAAAACTCATCTGATATTATTATTAATGATTTTAATTCTGATGATAATAGAATTATAAACAGTTTATACTCTTTTTAATGATTATTTGAACCAAATTTTTCAAAAAGTTAAATTACAGAAAAATAATATAGTTAATATATTAAACTTTATAAAAACTTTTTTAGAATACTATACATTCATAGTTGGACATTAAAACAAAGTTAAAAAAGAAGTTGCAGCTTTGTGATGATAGTTTAAAAATATTCTGAAACTATAGAAAAAGTAGTTGGTAAAAGTTAAGATTTTTCATTAAGTAAACAACAAAGTTAGATATATTTATTCCTATACAATTATAAAACCTACAAGAAACATTTAAAAAGATCAAGAACTCATAGAAGTTACAAAGTTGTTTCACCTTTTATCTTACTTTTTTTTAAAAAAAATATTATAAAAAATAGACAATTTAGTTTATTTTTTTTAAAAAATTAACATATAAAATTATCAAAATAATCAGCAGTATTTATTTTTTAAATAGGTTTGTTAATGACATAGATTGGAAATATTATAGTAATATAAACACAATTATACATGTATCTTAAATTACTAGAAACTTGCTAATATTGTCTTCAAACTAACTAATACTCTATACTAATCCTTTATAATCAAGTTAAAATTTTTTCTTTCTTATATAGTTTTTTGTTAAATAATCTAGGTAAATAGAAAAATAATAGAGTTATTTCTATTTAGTATAGTTTATAATTTGTAAAAAATTTAATATAGGTTTATAATTATGATCATCTAATATTTATAAATTACAAGTTTTATATATTTCTCTTTTTTTTATTTCTTAATTTTTTTTTTATTTTTTAATTTGTATCTTTTATTACTTATTCCTATACCTTAGTTTTTTTTTTATATATATAATTTTTTTTTTGTTTTTTGCTTTACTATAAAAAGATATTATCAGACTAATAATGTTTTATTATAAGTCAGCAGTCAAATGAGCAGTTTATTTTTAACTAGGATAATATAACAGATTACACTTAAATATTATTTGAATAGCTAAGTAATACTAGACTTATATATCAAAAAATTTTATATAATTTGTATAGTTTTAAGAATTCTAATAAAGTACTAGCATGACTGTTAAAGTTAAAAATAATAATAATAATAATAATAATAATAATAGAATTATAAACTAAATTGTTATTATTATAATAAAATTTATAAACATATTTAAAACTGAAAAAAGATCAGAACTCTCCCTTGTAAATCCTTCAACCAAAAATTATTAAGAAACAAAACACAGAAAAACCACAAAACCAACTAGAAAACAACACTTAAACCCTTAACAAAAAAGAAATAGCAGCAAAAGTTACATCTAGCTAGGAAACAAAATACAAGCAGGAAATATAGAAATAGCATAGCTTGGAATAACATTAAAAAATTTCAACGAAAACAAAAATTTTGGAAAATTTTGGGGAATCTCTGTGACCCTGTTGTGAAGATCAATTTAGGTTACACAAAAAGCACCAAAAATAAGTAAAGTAAACAAACACGTGTAGTAAGATAGTCTATTAGAATAAGCATCTGACATAGCAACAACTAAACTAAAATAGCCAA